GGCCCTCCCACTTAGGGCGATCGTCACCCATTGACGCGGCCTCCTTTACTCACCAGCCCCTCCTCCTGTTCCAGGGACCGGGCCCGCAACACCGGAGTCATCTCGTGTACCGTGTGCCTAGAGGAGTTCCAGACGCCCATCACATGTATCCTTGGGAAACCAGGCTCTTGCGGGGAAGTGGGGTGGGTGGGGAGGGGTGGGGGCAGTCAGGGCTCCCCTGCCCCGGGTGGGCTGCTCTAGGGCACCTGGCCAGGGGCGAGGGGACTGGATCCAGTCTTTGCTCCTCTGGCCTTCCTGCTTATGCTTTTGTGGGCCGTGACCTCCCCGGGGCGGGGACAAGGCGCCACCTGCTGACTTGTGTAGGGTTCGCGGCGGGGATCTGGCTGACACCAGTGAGAGGGGTGCATACAGGGAAGGGGCCCGATGCCACCAGTTGCCCTTGACCTCAGCGGCCCAGATCTGTCAGAACCGGTGGACGTGTACAGCGATTGGATAGATGCCTGCGAGGCAGCCAACCAGTAGCGATGCAGAGGACCCACTCCCGCGGCAACCCTGCCTGCCGTGGACCTGCCCCGCTGGGTGCCAATCCAGAGACATTCCAGGGTCCGCGGTGTGGGTCCAGGGCCTTCACAGCCCTCTGCCTGTATGGAGTGGGTGTGGGTGTGAGTGTGGCCGTGGCAGCGTGCCTGTGGGCACGGACTGGAGTTGAGGCGGGGTTGTTGGGCCCCCCCCCCGGGGGCCTGAAGTGCTTCCCTTGGCTCTGAAAGCCTTTAACTTACTTGCTCCTCCTCGGGGCCCGCATCCTGACGTCCTGGGCAAGGACAAGCCCAGCAGAGGCTGCCAAGGGACTCTCCAGCCTCCTCACCCATCTCACCAGCACCGTGTGAACTGGACTGCCCCCCGCCCCTCCCCTGCCTCCCAAGGCCTGTGGCCTGGGATTCAAAGCCACAGTCCCACAGGCCCCGTGGCTGGGACCTGGCAGAACAGCCCCTTTTCCTGTTGAGTTGCTTTTGTAGAGGAGGAAGGGGCTGGGCTGGGGATCGCCGTCGGTCACGAGCCCCTAAATAAAGCAGCTGATGCAAACTCCTCTGCTTCTTTGTGATTTCCTGGGTTCTGGGTCAGGCCCAGGGGTTCAGTGAGGGAGAGGGGGAGACTGAAGCACTCAGAGGTAGCCTGGCGGGCCATTGGAAATGGGGTTTGGTCAGTCCTTCAAACTGTCCATTTTGTCCATGCAACAGGCATTCGGGATGAAACCATGGCAGTGCTGGGCCCGAGGCACACGGATGAACCCACAGACACCTGGCCAGGCATTTACAGGCACAGCAGAAAATGGGGCCAATGGAGCCCGGGGTGACCAGAGAAGGCTTCCTGGGGTCGGTCCGAAAGAAGAAGTGATACTCAAGGGCCACCCTGTGCCAGAAGCTGCTCTCAGGCTTGCCTGCCCTGCCCCCCCACCCCACCCCACCCCCCGAAAGGTGCCTGTGAGGTAGGTGCCCCAGGCTCACCGGTCCCAGGGCTGCAGCGGTGACAGCATTGTGGAGCAGTAAGGGTCCGGGAAAGGGACCTTTTTCCGAGGGTGGTGAGGGGGTCTCTGAAGACGAGGTGGGGCCGATGCTGGTGCGGTGTAATACATTTTGGTCCCTATCTCTAGTTCCTGGCACAGCTCCTCAACCCCTTGGAATTTCCTGAATGGCAGCATCTTTTGTCAACAGAGCCCGTTTTGATCACACCTACGTTCATGCCGATCGCTGTGGGGCCCCAGATCAGCCTCAGGATGGGACTGGTCACCGGAAGGCCCGTGATCACTGAGTGGGACCCTCAGTAACACCCACAACCTCTGAGGAAGGGAAAGGGGGGCTACAGATTAAGCTGTATAACAACTTCAACAAGATTTGACAAGCTTGGGGGGTCGGTGAACCCACAGAAGTGCTGGGGGAGTGGGGTGCCCCTTCTCCCGACTTGGGCCCGTACGCCGGCTCCATCGAGCGCCTCCTGATTTATATTCTTTTCTAATAAACCGGTAATCTAGTAAAACGCAATGCTTCTCTGAGTTCTGTGAGCCACTCTAGTAAATTAACGAAATCGGAAGAGGTGGTCATGGGAATCCCTGATTATCACTGGTCAGTCAGAAGCACAGGTCATAACCTGGACTTGGAATTGGCCCTAAAGGGGAGGGACAGCCTCCTAAGACTGAACCCTTATCCTGGGAGATCCAATGCTGTCTGTCTCCAGGTCGTGTCAGAATTGAGTGAATTGCTTGGTTTTGGAAAAAAATGCATCTGAACCTTGCTGATGGACGGTGCCCTCAGATGGTCTTACAGGTGTGGAGGTCCTGACGCTCCGGCAGCCTGGGGCCCATCAGCACCCGCACCCGGCTTTGAGCCTGGGCAGCAGGTGGCCTGTGCTTTGCATTCCTCGTTGGTACAGCAGAAAGGACGCTAGAACGTTCCAGGGCCATGCTGAGACTGGAGGGGCCTAGCACAGTGCCTGGCACGGTTTAAGTGACTCTGGGACCCACTCAGGGCACTAAGGGGTGTGGGACAGCCGAGGGGGGATGCTGAGCTAGCCACCAGGCCCGGCCACTGGGTCTGGCATGTTCCCCCACTCCCACCTGGAAGCCCACCCTGCCCTGCCCGTCCTGTGGTGCTCTCGCCTCCCCCCTCCAAGGTCCCAGGCAGGAGCCAGTGGGCACGGGTGGAGCGGTGGACAGGTGCCTGGGCGGGGGGTGCCCTCTGGGGTCCAGCAGAAAGGGGGCTCATTCCTCCGGCTTCCAGGGCCCGCCCACCCCAGTCACACAGGCCAAGTGCTAATATGGTGCTGTTTTCTCGAGGAGGCAGGGCCCTGGGCCAGGCATGGATCCTCCTCAGCATAGCTCCCCCTGTGCTGGCCCTGGGGGAGCAGGACTTGTACTAGCCAGGCCAAGAGCGCCTGGAATCCCTTTTACGAGGCCCCAGGGGCTGTGTGCGTCCCTGCACACGGGTCTTCTGGTGTGTCTCCGCAGGTCCCCGTGTTCCAGCTTCATCCCCTGCTGTGCGTAAGGAAGGGGACACCACCGGTTCTGTAACCACCTGCCACCCCCACCCCCACA